GCCATGACTACAACGCCAGTACTCGCCATGCCCAGGTTTGATGTCTTGTTCGAGGTACACACCGATACGAGCGACATTGGAATTGGAGCTGTACTAGTGCAAGAGGGGCGACCCCTAGCCTATCTCAATAAGGCACTGGGCACTACTCGATTGGGTCTGTCAGTGTACGTGAAAGAGATGCTAGCAGTTGTTGAGGCTGTACGATGCTGGAGGTCTTATCTATTAGGTCAACGTTTTCAAATTGTTACCAACCAACAACCGCTCAAGCACCTATTGGAGCAAAGGATTGATACCCCCGAGCAGCAGAAGTTCGTGTCTAAACTCATGGGGTTTGACTTCGAGATAATCTATCGACCAGGTCGACAGAACGCAGTAGCCGACGCACTATCCCGACGAACAGACGTGGCCGAGTTGAGTACGATCACTGGGCCTACTTGGGCCATTTGGGAAGAAATCAGGAAGGCGCAAGTAGAGAATACCCATTGTCAGGAACTGTGCCAATCGATAGAAGCAGGAAAGACAACTACCATCGACTACGAGTTACATAACGGTCTACTTCTACATCGAGGTGGAGTCTATGTCCCCGACAGCGGGCAGTTACGCGAACAGCTTATGCAACACTTCCACGACTCTAAGGTTGGAGGCCACTCGGGTATCTATCGCACATGGATGAGAATAGCCAACACTTTCTTCTGGCCCGAGCAGCAGAGTACCGTCCGAGACTACATAGCACGATGCGATGATTGCCAGCGTACTAAGTCTGACTCACGATGACCGAGTGGGCTCTTGCAACCACTACCAGTGCCCGAGGCAATCTGGGAAGACATCACCATGGATTTCATCGAGGGGCTACCGAATTCTAATGGATTTGATGGAGTTATGGTTGTGGTGGATCGTCTCACGAAGTATGCTCACTTCATACCCATTACCCATCCTTACACCGCGAAGTCGATTGCCAGGTTATTCGTGGAGTGCGTGATGAAACTGCATGGAGCACCTCGATCCATCGTCTCTGATCGAGACCGGATTTTTATGAGCAGCTTTTGGTCTGAATTCTTCAAGTTGCAAGGGACTAAATTATCT